AAAGGATAGAGGAGACGCCGGGCCTGCGGACGCCTGCAAGGCTACCTCGGTATCTCACTGGACTAAGAGTAGGCTCCCGTGCTACTGCTGCTGACCAAAACCTGGATCTGTGCAAAAGAGCACAGAGTGTAGCATCAGCATAACCGACCCCATGTGCTGGTAAGTGCCTAGCCTAACCCCGGCGAAGTAGTGACGAGGCTTGACCGGACTACCACATAAACCTGTGCAGTTATTTATACATATACAGCGAATCGAAATACAACGACAAGTAAATAATATGGGAGGGGAAACATGCTGTGGGGAGATAACAGTTTCAAGTAATAGTGGCCTAGTAACGAAGGAAATAGCACAACTCATACAATAATAAGGAACAGAGATCAACAAGTGCGCGGCATCACCCTTCGTGCTTTTACTCTCATCCTCACCAAGCAATAATATAATAAATCGTGCACGGCATCACCCTTCGTGCTTTTACTCTCGTTCCTCACATATAATCAATAGAATCGGCACGGTATGGCACATCGTGCTGCACGACATCACCCTTTGTGCTTTACTCTCTTTTCCTCACAATAAGCAAACAATGCACGGCATCACCCTTCGTGCTTTACACTCTTTCCTCACAAGAAACAAGCAATGCACGGCATCACCCTTTGTGCTTTAACACTCTTCCTCACCCAAACAACAATCACAAACAAGGGCAAGGGAACAAGAAAAACAATAATGAAAATCCCGGCAAGGGAACACAAATAAACAATTAAAACCCGACAAGGGTACAACATCAATAACCTCAACGTCCCGGCAAGGGAAAAACTCAATAAGCAATAATATCCCGACAAGGGAACAATTTAAATACTCTTTCTCTTCATTCACTTTCATCTCATAGTTCACATTATCCCTTGAGCCGATGCTCCAAAGATTTACTTATCTCATATACCTTCACAATTTGTATTCCTACTCGAGCCAACGCTCCACGAAGTTTAAAGATCACAATTCCTTCCACATACTCGTTATAACATATAGAAGTCATCAATTAATCATGGAAGGTACAACAAAACCAAAGTATTCGCAAGATAAGGACTCACGGTCATGCTAGACACCAATGTATAGATACTCGTCACCATGCCTATACATCGTACTCGACAATTAGCAAGTAGCAAATAAGACTCAACTCCTAGTCCCTCAAGCTAGGGTTAAACCAAACACTTACCTCAAACTTCCACGGCCAATTCAATCCTCAATAACCGCCTTTCTCCTCGAATTCGGCTCCAACTCAATCGTATCTGTACAATAATGACTTCAATACATCAATAAATGCTAAACAACACGAACCCAATACCTAATTACAGCTTTTTCATCATTTTTCCCCAAAAGGTCAAAAATGCCCCCGGGCCCACATGGTCAAAACCCGAGGTTCGAACCAAAACCCGTTTACCATTCCCCCACGAACTCAAATATATAAATTATTTTTAAATCGAACCTCAAATTGAGGTCCAAATCTCCAATTTTAGAAAAAAAACCTAGGTTCTACCCAAAATCCCCAAATTTCCCCATTAAAATCTTTGTTTTGAAGTTCAAATTATGTTAAAAGATGTTAAGGAGTGAAGAAAATAAGTTAGAAATCACTTACCAATCGTTTTGAAGAAGAAGAATTGTTTGGAAAATCGCCTCTTATGTTTTGGATTTTGAAAAGTGAAAAATAACTGAAATTCCCGTCTATATATACCCCTCTGAAGTCCCAGCGCGGACCGCGCAAAAAGGGACCGCGGCCGCGCTGGCCTGGCCTACCTGAAGACCTGCGGATCTTAGCCCTGCACGGACCACGCAAAGCCGACCGCGGCCGCATAGCACCCACCGCGGACCGCGCAAAGGCGACCGCGGCCGCACGCGATTTCTCGCGGACCGCTCTAGAGGGTTCAGAGGCCTGCAATATTTCCTGAACCTGCAACAGCTGATATTTTAAGTCTAAGGCATCCCGGAACCTACTCAAAACTCACCCGAGCCCTCGGGAATCCAAACCAACCATACACACCACCTCAAAACCATCCTACAGACTTATCCGTGCTATCAAATCGCCAAAATAACATCATGAACATCAAATTAGGCCTCAAAACCCATGATTTCTTCCAAATTTCATAAAACATCAAATTATCCATTTCAAGTCCGGAACGCGTCAAACGACGTCCGTTTTAAACCAAACTTTACAGAAAGTGCTTAATCATATATAAGACTTGTACCGGGCGCCGGAACCAAAATACAGGCCCGATACCATAGTCACCTAATCAAATTTCATTTCCAATTTTCTTAATTAATTCTAGAAAAATAATTTCACACAAAAATTTATTTCTCGGGCTTAGGACCTCGGAATTCGATTCCGGGCATACGCCCAAGTCCCATATTTTCCTATGGACCCTCCGGGTCCGTCAAATCACGGGTCCGGGTCCGTTTACCAAAAATGTTTACCGAAGTCAAATTTTTATTCAATTTAATATCAAAATTTAGTATTTTTCTCACAGAATTCATATTTAGGATTTCCGGCTACGCGCCCGGACTGCGCAAGCAAATCGAGGCAACCCTAAATGAGGCTTTCAAGGCCTCAGAAGTACGGAATGAGTAAGGAAACAAGTGATGACCCTTTGGGTCGTCACATTTCATCTTGTAAATAATTTGTTACTAAATTTAGTTAGTTGTTCTTTCACATAAAAGTTCTGACTAAAGATTTACGTGCAACGCACGTACATAGTAACTAGTACTATATTAAAAGCACGAAGGCTCTTAGCGAAATATCGTTGATCTTTTTTACCCCTTTAAAATAGAGTTCGCACTAGATAAAATAACATTTAATTATCCCCATAATATTTACCATTTTGAAGTCAATTAAAACTTTACTTATTAAAGTTTTCCCTACACGGAAAATCATAATATTTAGGACATCAAATCAATTAAGTTTACCATATAAAAATCAAACAATTAGTTTATAATTTTCTTCTTCTTATTCTACGTGCATAGAATATTTTAGGAACGTGCAAAGCTCCATTCAATGTAGTACACTTTTCTTCCAATAAAATATTTAAACTACTCTATATACATCAATTTATATTATTATTTACTTGAAAATGTACTTATGTTATTAATTGTAGTTTTTTTGCTATCTATAACTTTAGCCCATTCTAACCATCTAAAAATCATGAGTACTATAAAAAACTTAAAATCGAAGTTTTGAAATAATACTTGACAACTATACAAAAAAATAATGAAAAATAAATAGTATACTCTTTAGTGTAGTTGGAAAACAAGGTAAAATACTCTTAACTTAACCACTGGATAAAGTTATAATTTAGTATTTAAAATTTTTAAATCAACTAAAATTTTAGTTATTAAATAACTCTTTGTTATAACTATATACAAAATTCTAATATTTTAAAAATTAAATATATTATTTACTTATTTGAAGTGTTTTAATATCTATAATTTTGAAATCAACTAAATTTTATCTATTGAACTTTTGTATAATATTTGAAACTACAGTCAATAATTATTTCGACTTCCAAACATCATTTATTCTCATTATGTAGAATCTATTCACTAATTATAAAACAACATACAATCAATTATTATTTTTTATTAATGTATGCAAACTTAAAACAATAACGATAAAATAATAGGAGAAAAAATTGATTCTAAATGAGTTGTCGTTAATTATCTCACTACTAAAAAAAAGCCGGAATTAGCTAAGAACGTTGTCGCTAATTCGGTCGTAGCTAGCAGAATTTCTTGATAATATGTCGCTAATCCGTCGCTAAATGAGATTAGCGACGGATTTCTCTATTACCAAAGCATAAAATAACAATAATTATCATAAGATATTCTTCTAAAACTATAAGGACTTTCATTGCGCTGAATATGAGACCAATATATATATTTTTAGAAAGTTATACATTTTATTTTATTTTTTATTATAACTCAAAACATTGTTTAATATTATTTATGTAATTTTTAAAGAAGTTATTTACTTATTAACAAGGGGACAACACGCAAAGTGCGCACCCTACTTTTAGCGAAATATCATTCGTGTTTTTACTTTTTTAAAATAAAGTTCACACTTGACAATGACTTGTACTAGATTAAAAGTCTTTTTTCTTTTAAATTTCGTGTCCAATCAAAAACGTTAACTTTTATTTGGAAATAGGTAATGTAATTTCTAATTATAGAATTTGAACCCACCTCCCTATAAACAAGGCAACCTAGAAATGGGAATGGAGCTGAGCGCTGGACTTTCTAAAGAAAGATATACTCTACTAAAGAGACTGAGATGACCATTTCTTGTAGTAATACAGTTTGCTTGTTAGAGTACTCAAACCCCAAAGTGTCTACGGTAGGTCACTTTTCTAAGAGAAAATCTGTGGCAGTCCATATCAATTTCCAAAAGTTCGTTGGTTAGATTTTAATCTCCACGTCACTACCTAACCATAATTCTAATTTTTAACACTTTAACTTGTCCATTTTCTTCTTCCTTATTTTTTACTCCACAGTACAAATTAGGAATATAAATTCCTACTCCCTCGTCCCCCAGCCCATTTTATGTGATGTATGATCTAAAACAAGTTATAAGTATTTGAGTGACTATAAATAATGGTAGTCGGAAACTTTAATGTGCAAAGCGATCATAAAACAATCGAAATTTCTGACTACTGTAGTCGGAAAGTTGAAAAAATTAAATATGAAAAAATATCATTCTTTTTGGAGCAGACATAAAAGGAAAATGCATTGCATGGATTGGGACAGAAAGAGTACTATTTTCATGTTTCATGTTGAGTATGAAAATATAGCTACCTAACTTGAACTAACCTTTGGGATTTTGTGGGCTTTAGGCTCGACAACACTCACTCTTCTATGTTCGGCTAGTCTCTATTCTGCACTCTCCTAACGCGTTTCGTCAGTTTGAACATTGGAACAGTTTAGTATAAATACATACTTAAAACAAAAAATCTCCATTTTCTCTTTCTATATATATAAAAATACAATTTGAGCTAACGACAATGAGTATGCGTGAAGTCGCTAACGAAAGCATAGTTCAGCCCCTACTGTATACGTACTCCATGTTAATTTATTCTTGCATGGTTGATACTATACATTTTATGTATTTTAGCATATATTATGTAGAAAGAAGAAGAAGTGGGGAGCTTGTAGTTACTCTTTGTTGTTTGAGTTAACTCAGGGAGGTATAGAGAAAACACTCAAACAGAGTGATGACACCACCGCCGAAAGCAGATGAATTGGTGCCACACCCAGTGAAAGACCAATTACCTGGGGTTGATTACTGTGTTAACAGTAATCCTTCTTGGGGTATGTAATTTGCATTACATATTAAATTCTTGATCATTCTAGTTTATGATTGAAGAGTAATTGATTGATTGAGTTGATGAACTTTTTGTTTATTAGCTTTTTCTCATTCTGTCTTTTTATAACCGATTTCATAATTTTGTGGCTTGTTTGCCGCAAGTGATCAACCTCCAGCTTTCCTCAACCAAATTTTAAATCCTTTCAGAGTACTATTCAGTAGCGAATCCAGGAAATTCAAACACCCTTTGCCAGTGGGCTATGAAAGGGTGTTCCAAGTCTATTTTTTTGTTTATCAATAACAAGTAGTAATATTTTACCCTATGCACAGTATAATTTTCGTCGAAGAGTGTTTAGTTCACCATCCTTGACCACACATAGCTTCGTCCCAGGTACTATTCAATATTGGAATGTAACCGGTTTGAATCCAGCAGAATGGATATGGAGGATTCATATAGCTTACTCCAACTGATTTAGGATTAAGGTGTTCCGTCCCGTTGATTGATTGGTGTCGATCTTCGAAATGAGAATCTATGATTCCTGATTTGATCATCAAAGGGATCAGATTTTCTAATTTAATTAAATGCCCAAACATATCTTGCAAACCTAAGTGGACAAACAATACAAAGTTTTTTTGACTCCCTACTTGTCTAAATAATGCAGCTGAGGCCATTATTCTGGGTTTTCAGCACTACTTAGTCATGCTTGGGACTAGTGTAATCATCCCAACCGTCATTGTTCCTCAAATGGGTGGTGGCAATGTAAGTATCAATAATTCTGAGTAATCCCTTCCCTACCTTGAAAGCAATTTTGAGTTTACACGTTCGAGCCCAGGGAGTAATACTATTTGTACTAACAGTATATATGGTTTCAAAATTATATGTCATCCAGGAGGAGAAAGCTCAAGTAATTCAAACTTTGCTTTTCGTCGCTGGGCTGAACACTCTTTTGCAATCTTGGTTTGGCACCCGTCTTCCTGTGGTGATAGGTGGATCATTCACATTCATAGTTCCAACTGTTTTTGTTGCATTATCCAGTCGATACAATACATATCTTCACCCTCATGAGGTTGGCATATTCCTTCTTCTTACATCCGTTTTCCATTTTTATGCTTGAGTTTGATCCCAACACAACAGCAGCGGTTCTAACACTTCTATTGGATAATGTTCTTCAGAGGTTTAAACAGACGATGAGAGGAATGCAAGGAGCTCTGATGATTGCATCCATACTTCCCATACTAATTGGCTTTCTAGGAATCTGGAGAATTGTTGTAAGGTGGTCATTTTACATCCTTTCGTCGCCATAGTTTAAGCATTTGTTATTGTAAATAGAATGTTTGATTCCATTTGTTCGACTGTATATATATAGGTTCCTATCCCCTCTCTCTGCAGCTCCACTGGTGTTGCTTGTTGGCCTTGGCCTATATGTGCAAGGGTTTCCGCTTGTAAGAGCTCTGATTAATTGGTTAATTCTATCTTTTATATACGAAAATATCTTCCTAATTAACATCTTTTTCACTTCTGTTGTTCCTTTCGCCTTGTTTTCTTTTATTTTGTTCTCGTTATTGCTTGTCGCTACTGCTCTTTTCTCATTTTTCCTCTTGCCGAGGGTGTACTGGAAACAGGCGTCTCTACATTCATTGTAGGGGTAAGGTCTGCGTACTATCTACCCTTCCCAGACCTTACTTGTGGGACTATATTGGGTTTGTTGTTGTTGTTATTTTTCACTTCTGTTGATTGATATTGGCAGCTGGCAGAATGTGTTGAAATTGGCCTTCCACAGTTGATCATTTTGATTTTGTTGTCCCAAGTAAGCCTTTTCTTCACTAGTTTGTCAAGTTCAGTTCTTAAGATCATGCATTCATTGCACTTATTACTGTCTAAAAAAATGCATGATACAAATGGTTTTTACCCTTTGAGTGGTACAAAAGATGATGCCCAACATCTTGTTCTATTGCATTCATATTGTCTTCTTTTTGTGGGGAAAAGCAGCACAAACTAAACAATAAGTATTTGTGCAGTACATTCCTCATATGTGGAAACTAAAGCATCCCATATTTGAGCGATTTGCTGTCCTATTATCAGTTGGAATAGTGTGGGCATATGCAGCTCTTCTCACAGTGACAGGTGCATACAACAATAGATCCCCACAAACTCAGTTCAGTTGTCGTGTTGATCGCTCTGGCTTCATTAGTGGAGCTTCATGGTATGATATATGACGTCGATTTTTGGGGAGTAGCTTCTACTAACTTGTTTTATTTTCTGCTCTCACAACGACTTTTGGGAAATGCAGGATAAGGTTTCCTTATCCATGGCAATGGGGCGCTCCCAAAGTGTATGCTGGAGAAGCCTTTGTGATGATGGCGGCAGCTTTAGTTTCTCTTGTCGAGGTCTATATATAGTCCTAACTTGGTTCATGTTTCTCTCTTGGTAGAAATAAACATAGCTTTATCTATGTGTAAGATACATAAGCTAGCTATTTCAATATACTGAATTTTCGAAGAAGTCAATTATCATTTTTAGTTACTAGACTCTGAAATCTTTGAGGCTCAACTAGTTATTATATATATGTTGAGACTTCTTTCGGAAGATGAAATTTTTTACTCTGAAGTTATCCTATTTTTTGTTATTTTTGGCAGTCTACTGGAGCATTTATTGCAGCTGCAAGATATGGCAGTGTAACACATACACCGAATTCAGTACTTAGCCGCGGAGCTGGTTGGCTGGTTGGTAGATGTACCAGGATTATTATATTTAAGGTTTTTGTTGATTTCCTTTTTCCATTGTAAAATTTGTCTGCAGAACTCAAGTTTGCTTTTTTGTTGCATGAAATGCAGGGATTAGGCATTTTGCTGAATGGTCTATGGGGAACTGCAACTGGTTCTACTGTATCAGTGTAATATATTAACTCTGCTGCATCTAATTTCAAACACCATTTTTTTTCTAGGAATTTTATGCCCCCCATTAGATGCTTGACCATATGATCTAATGCTTTTTTATGATCTATGTAGTGAAAATGTAGGTCTTTTGGCGTTGACGCGAGTTGGAAGTAGAAGAGTGATTCAAATATCTGCAATATTTATGCTGTTTTTTTCTGTATTAGGTAAGATATTCAAGTATATTGTCCAAGTTGATAGTGTTTACTAAGTGAGACATTTTTAAGTCAAGGTATCCAAAGTGATTTGTACAGATTTGGGCTACTCAACTCCTCTGTTTTAAGTTTTGATTCACATAATGGTTATAGTGTAACCTTGAGGGGTCACGGGACTCTGTAAACCTTAGTGGAAATCTTGTATATGCATATATGTATATCTTGAAAATGGTTTAATTTAAATCACTTGGTATTTGAACACTAAAAGCCTTTAGGGGGCACTGGTTGAGCAGCATACCGATGCCCCCATTGCGTTAAAATCCTGGATCCGCCTATGGTTATAAGCCATTTCGAGTCATGTCATTTCTTCTCTCTTTCTAATGTATGTTCATGCTTTTCTCTTCTCAACTCATTCTAACTAATGCTGCACCTTCTTGTCCATGAACAGGAAAATTTGGAGCTGTTGTTGCTTCCATACCACTGCCTATCATTGGAGCTTTGTACTGTGTTTTTTTTGCCCTCATGTGTATGTGCTTTCTCACTCATAGCAAACATGCAAGTTCTTGTTTCAATATTCTAGTTTAAACAATGTAATGTTGAGTATGAGAAATCAACATCACAAACTAAAATACAACAACGACAACATATCCAATGTAATCCCACAAGTGGGATCTAGGGAGATAGTGTGTATGTGGACCTTGCCCCTACCTTGTGAAGGCTGAAAGGCCGTTTCAGATGAAAATAGCGGTACACTAAACACCGACTCAATCTCGACGAATAAAAGGAAAAGCAAGTACATCCATAACGGCCTCTATTCCTGACGTGAACGGCCGCTTTCTTGGAAATAATTCATAGTCACTTCCTGTTAGTTAAACTTTACCCATTATATAAACAAATAATTGAAGCGTGCGATAGAAAGCGGAAAAACGAATTGATTGATGACTTAGTGCAAGCCCGTAAATAGACGACTATGGATAGTTCAGGGGCGCTTAAAGTCAACTACAACTTCATTCATCCTTTGCATTCAAGAAGAATGAGCGCTGCTTTTGCCTATATATTATGAGTATATGATTTGTTATTCTGACATTTGATTAACTCATGCAGCTTCTGCTGGTCTTGGTTTACTTCAATTCTGCAACCTCAACAGCTTCAGAACTAAATTTATATTAGGTTTCTCAATCTATTTGGGTCTTTCTGTTCCACAATACTTCAATGGTTATGTGATAACAACGGGTGATGGTCCAGTTCACTCTAGCTCTGCCTGGGTAAGTACATATGTCAAATTCATCATTGACTTCCCTTTATCGACGTTTCTCATTCAATACAACAATGTTTAGACGTTATCGTATTGAGTGACAATTGTTTTTGGACTTAAAAACCACTTGCAGTTTAATAAAACAATGCAAGTGATCTTCACGTCCCCGGCCACAGTGGCGGGGATTGTGGCATTGTTCTTGGACATAACTCTTGCTCGCAAACATGCCACGACGAAGAGAGACAATGGCAGCCATTGGTGGGCAAAGTTCAAATACTTTGACAAAGATCCTAGGAGTGAAGAGTTCTATTCTCTACCTTATGGTCTTTCCAAGTATTTTCCCTCAGTGTAGTACCAATTATTGTTTACAACAAATTTAAATATGTGCAACAACTCCAAGTGGAAGTAAAAGACTAAGCATTTTGTAAAGACAGATGGGGAAAAGGAAAAAAGAGAAAGAAAATGATACATGTATGTTTGTTAGGATCAACTTTCTGGTTAAGTACAGGACTTGAAATGTTATTATTTCAAATTTATTTGATAGCCAATAATTGCTTAAAATAGAGGTCGTTATGGTATATTTAGGTATGATTATACAGAATTTGTACGTCCCACCCACCGACTGAGTGGCGAATTCGTGCTTTCAATAGTTTTAAGGGAGATCTCCACAAATAGGATCATTAAGTGCTACTCCCTCCGGTCCAAAATAAGTGATTTTTTGGCATTTTTCTTGTGGTCCAAAATAAGTGATTTTTTCAGATTTCAAGAATGAATTAATTATTTTTTTCCTACATTGTCCTTGGAGTAAATAGTGTTGGAATATGTGTTAGGAGTGTTTATGTGAGATAGTAAAGGTTAATATGATCAATTCTATTGCTAATTAATGTTAAAAGGTAAATTTCTTAATCTGTGTGAAAACATTAAAAAAAAATCATTTATTTTGGACCGGAGAGAGTACTGTTTATATTTTTACCCCGTTAAGAAAAATTCTAAAAAATAGTCTCGTTGCCAGTATCTTAAAGCATGCTCCAGAATTTCGAAGCACACTGACAGAATTCTGAAACGCGCTACCAAAACTGAAAATTCTGACAGCTAACTTTAAAATTCTGGCGCTGAACTATTTTACCAAACTTTTCTTAATGAGATCAAAATATAAATGGTGGATCTAAAAAGGTCAATCCCGCATAATTTCCTATAGCTTTAACCACGCCATAATTGTGATTTGTGAGCATGGGACATTGTTCATTTTCTTATTTCTGGTTCCAATAATCCAGTTTGTCTTTGAATGTACCTACAATATCTGGAAATATCAACATTGTCAAATGACTAGATTTTGCTCTGGGCAAGAATTGAATGAAAGAAGATTGTGCTAGAAATCTAATCTATCAGTTGAAACAAAAAAAGGAGTTGTATAGTTACATAACAATACGTAAATAGCAGATGCAAAATACAAATAGAGATTTATTCATTTGGCCACTGCTATAGGCAGATGTAGAGAAGAAGTTACGGGTTCATATGAACGAAGTTACTTTGGCTTAAAATCGGCATATGTATTAAAAATACTAGATAATGAATTTTGGTAAAATTACGAATTCAAACCCATAATATTCAAAATCTGAATTTGCCTCAGGTCGCTGCAGAGTGTAAATCCCAATCAAAGTTGGCTTTTAGGATTTTGACATAAGTAAATAAAGATTCGTTATTCTGTCAGCATGATATGTATTATTGCGTTATATATAATATAACATAACATGACATAAAATTAAGCTCGCATTAAGAAAAAGGAGGGGAAACAAGACAAAAATGAATTTTTGTTTATAATTGCTATATGGTTAAAGATAAGCTCAAGAATCTTTGCTAGGACCCCCTCCTCCAACAAAGTATAAAAGTAAAGATTGTCGTAGTCTTTAGCAGATCAAACATCTATTCAACTCGAGTTATCTTAAAACCATTAGAAAAAAGGAATGAAAACAAGACAAGAATGAAATTTTCTCTCTATAATTGTACTATAATAAAAAGATAAGGGCAATAATCTTTTGATAGGACCCCCC